TCATTCACACATTCCTCTCCATAACCTGAGTGAATCTTTCTAGCTGCTTCGGCTGCGGAGTTTCCTTTCTTGAACTCATAAAGCATTATGTGCCTCAAATGATTCTTGGGCACTTCCATGTTAGAAGGGTTTTAATCAAACAAAATTTAATTTTATTGTTCTCTGAATTAACATTTGATCAGTTTAAATGCATCTAAACGTAAAAAGTAATGTTCAGATCCATTAAATATCATAAAATATTTCGTTCATTTTAACAAAAAGTTAAAATTCAGACAAAACTTACGGGATGACCTGATATATATGTGACGTCGTCCCCCGGTCGCAGCGTCGACTGTGTCGTTCGATCCCGTTCGCGGCCACAATTGTGACGTCACGTGCTCCCCAGGCTCTGATATCCTGGTCACGGACAGCACCAGTTGGGACGTCTTTTGTCGCGGCGTCAGCTGTTCGCTCCTCCAAACGTGACGTTCTAACCCTTTGGTTAGATTGATACCAGCCTCGTCGTTCTCAACCCGCTTCCAACGCCTGGTTACCAGGGTAACTGCACTGATCTCCGGTCTGCCTACCCACGTTGTGACTTGGTCTTAGACAGACGAGATCAAACAGGGCTTGGGGCCGTAATGCAAGTTGAGTCTAACGGGGGTGATAACACACAATTATGTATAATAAAAAAAAAATACATAAAATAAAAATCTCACAAGGTCCAACGTATCAAGAAAAAGGTAACAAACTTTTATGTCTATTTGCTCGGTACATAGGACTATGTCTACCTCCCGACCCGTTCTGTGGATTGTGGCACGACGCTTTTACTAAGCAACTTTAAGGCTTCCAGTTGTCTGCTCTCTAAGAAATTTGTGTTTCGGCGTGTCTTTGGACGAAAGTCGAAAAAAAACTTATTTCTGTGGTCTGATTTTATGTCGCTCTTCAAACATCTTGTTCTTGGTTGAAGAAGAGTCCAGAAGTGTGCGTGAATCTTGGTTAGCTATCTTGACGCGGTTTCAACACTGGGCGCTCATCTCTGCTTGTCGTTCACGGCTCAAACTCCAACTCAAACTCTCTCGCCGTCTGCTCTCAAACTGATTTCTGTCGGTTGGGGTCCCGCTTTTATTGACGCCGTCAAAACTGGGGTGGGTCTGTTTGGCGTCGGGGATTCTCTTTTGATAATTCTAAATACGTATCCACCCTTCTTATTTCTGGTTAGGGATTTTCCATTTTCGGTAACTCACCTTCACTCCCACTTCCTTATTGTGTCTCTGAGGGCGTATACCCGCTTCCCCCGCTTCTTCGTATCGGCCCTCACACTTTACACTTCTGACAAGGGCGTCGACCGATTCTCCTCGTGCGTCACGTGACCGCTCTCGGCCAATGAGGTCCTGGTCGGGTATCTTTCCTCCTCCTTCGTGCGTCACGTGATCTTATTTAGGCAATGACGTCCTGGTCGGGTATCTTTCTCCTCCTTCGTGTGTCATGTGATCCCATCTAGCCAATGACGTCTTTAGTCGGGCGTGGACAATCCGTGGCTTTGTTCTGGGGGAAGAAACACCTTGCTTAAAAAAATAAAAATTTAAATCGCCCTTATCATAAGCGACTGCGATGACACCTTCGGCTTTTTAACACGTGGTATTTGTCAAGCAGTTTATCGTTAATTGGATATGACCTAAGAAAGGGATTTCTCAGACCTGTTGGCGTTTCCGTGAACGAATAAAAATATTTCACATTTTTTTTCCGGCCAAAGGCCCGATAATAAAAATTTTCATTATCTCAAAAAAACATTCTCAGCGAACATCATCTTGTGTGGCTTTTTCCAATTCTGGAAATTGTCTGTGTTTTCGTATTACTGGTTTGTCTTCATATCCTTAGATACACTTCCCACCTGTTACCTATCATATTTTCCATTGTCTCTAAACTTCGTTTCTTCAACCATTTGATAACAAACTTCTATTTTTCGTGGACACGGAAGTAGGTCAGGTGCTTCACCTGGATATCTTCCGACATCTGTTATGTGTCAGTCGAGCGTGTGTGTGCTCGCTTATGACCTGTTTTCGTATTTTTTTTTCTTCTGTCTTCTCTTTCTTTCTCCCAGATCGCTTGAACGTAAAGAAAGAATTATTCCTAAAAAAACCGAAATATCTTTCAGCCCTAAATAATTATCAAATGGTTGACAAACCGTAAAAAACAAATCATATATTTATGAATATTTCTTTTCAGCTCACTAACTATGCATGGTGCCATATATATATATATATATATATATATATATATATATATATATAAGGAAAGGATTTTTTTATTTATTAAACCGAGAGATTTCGTTACTTAAATGTTATTTTTAGTAGATAAAAGTATTTAAATGGACGCTCCAGTTAATTAAAAAACAGTATATTTATTTATTTACGTCTACAAGCCTGACTATTCGTGAAATCTTAGAAAAAATATGCTTCCGGGGAGTCCATATTTTCCGATCAAACCAAACAGATGAATAATTATATTGGACATGCCAATATATGCCTTTCCAGAAGACTCACATTAAACCTTTCTGACCATAGCTCTATAAGGCCTCATTGAAAGAGAGACCGAAACCTACCAAACTCTATCCGAAACTCACTTGTAGAAAATACGTGTATAATAGCATCATGTATATGTAAAAATAAGCAAAGCGCTAGTAATACATAGAAAAAGCCTACACTCAGTAGTATCTACTAAGAAAACGGCCAGAATCTGCTGACCTTGTTTACATATTCAGTTAAAAATTAAAAAAAAATACCCTTCATAATGGCTTATATAATATGCGAATACGCACGGTTATATAGAATATTTATCCATTTTTTACACATTTTATGTCCAGAAAAGAAAGGAATCATACGAATAAAATAAAAAGCTTAATTGCTTAATTGCAGTATCTTGTCAGTCGTCATTTATACAACTTATATATATATATATATATATATATATATATATATATATATATATATATATATATTGAACAATAAGAAAATAACAAATTAAAAAATTAAAATCATTAGACACACTGGGTTGTAGATTAATATTCTTTCGTTTTTTATTATTATTATTCCATTTAGATTCCTCGACTAGTTTCGACCGAAATAGCCATCATCCGAAGGAGAAATATTTCTGCTTGCAGTTGGCAGTGAACTACAGAAATGAATATATATATATATATATATATATATATATATATAGTTCTAAGGTGTGCTATATTTATGGGATAAAGTGTTCAATATCAGAGATAGAGCGTATGTAAATATAAATATAAAAGTGAACATTGAAGTCAACACTCAGAGGTGAGAATCTGTTTCATGCTGGACGTAAGCGTCAGGCCGCTTGCGTCCAACATGAAACAGCCTGACGCCTCTGAGTGTTGATTTCAATGTTATACTTTGATATATATATATATATATATATATATATATATATAATACACACACACAAAAGTGCTTTTTTACACAAAACTAATCCCACTTTTATTTATTCAACATTCTTTCTATTGTGGTTCCTTTCGACAGTATAATTATGCATCTATATAGGCAACCACTCTCTCTCTTTCTCTTTCACACACACACACACACACATACATATATATATATATATATATATATATATATATATATATAGTATGTGGGTGATCAATGATAGTTAAAAAGGATACTGTAATACTTTGGTTGCATATTTGTATAAAGTTTCTAATGTTGTTTTATCAGTTGAAATATAATCATATCATCATATCTGAATAGATTTTCCATCGATGGAACATTTCAGAGTTGATGTCAAATACTTCTATTTAGGTAGGGAACAAAAAATTATTTTAAATACTTCGAAGTAAAGATGTACAAAAAATGTATTTTCTTATCGGTAATTGAAAAAAAATCGCAAAGAAATTTCAGTATAAAATAAAGAGATAAAGAAAAAAAGGATGAACAGAGTGAAAGATTCAAAAAGAAAGAAAGAAAGAATGAATGACAAATAAAAAGGAAGGAAAGAAAACTAGAAAGAAAAAGACAAGAGGTGGAAAGAAAGAAAGAAAGAAAGAAGAAAGAGAATGAAATAAACTGTAAAAGAAACCAAAAAGTAACGCGAAAACAACGATAGAAATAGGAAACAATAGAGAGCAAAATAAACATGAAGTAAGAAAAAAGGAATAAAAGACTAAGAAAGAAAGAATAAAAAAGGAAATAGAAAGACTAAGAAAGAAAGAATAAAAAAGTACTAGAAAGAAGAAGAAAGAAAGAATAAAAAAGGAGATAGAAAGACTAAGAAAGAAAGAATAAAAAAGGAGATAGAAAAAAGGAGTGAGTATTATTGCAAAAGAATAAAGAATGATATCTAAAGAAATCTCGAGAAAAGAAAGAATTAGTATTATAGAAAAAGAATAATAAATTAAATGAAATAGAAAGAAAAATAAAAAAGAAGAAAAAGCATAGAAAGAAAAAAAGGTAGAAAGAACGAAACGCCGAGAATTGAAAGTGAGAAAGAATGAAAGATAGAGACAGAAAAAAAAAAGAAATGATGTAATAATAGAACATAAATACAAGAAAAAAAATAAAAGACAAAGAAAGCTTAGAAAGTTAAAAAAAGAAAAAGACTAAAGCTAATCCAGCAAAAGGAAAAAATAAAACGAAACAAAGAAAAAAAAGTAAAGTATTCACCGCCATTAAAAAAATACTACAAAAAAAAAAAACAAAAAAAATAAAAAAATCAAAACAAACACAACAGATCCAAGATGAACCAAAAAAAAATAAGTCAGTTGAGGATAAAGAATGGGCTAAAAACGAAAGACCAAAGAAAGAAACTTGAATGTGATAAAAGGTGGTTGGGTTTTCATCCGCCTATATTCATTTACTTTCTACAACATTATAAATAATAAACCTTATTTCTGTGGTCATTGGCGGCACCACAGCTCTGAACTGGGGACAGTGTGTGCCAGATAAGACAATCTAGACATTATTTCTGAAATAGCACGAAATTTGGTGTTCGGGTCGAGAATGAATTCTTCAATGCCGGAGCGAAGCGGGTGAAAAGATTCTTTTGTTCATATACTCTTATCATTGCGTCTGAATAATCGTCCGAATGCTCAACGAAGTGCATCGATAAGTTTCTACTTTCAATAAATCTATGGAATCGAATAGCATTTATCAAATTGATTTTTGTCTTTTCTTCCGGTTGTGAAGAAAAGAGACGTTTTCGGAGAATTCTACTTGTTGAACAGTTTAGAACGCTGACGGATTACAGACTGATGTCGAAATCAGTCTTAACTTTTAATTCCTTTATAGTTTGGGGCAAACTTCAGCCCGCGGGCCATAGACGTCCTTTTCGACTTCTTTTCAATGGCGCGTCTAATTTAATGAAGAAAATAACATTTATTACAATGTTATTTGCTTCGTTTTGTTCTCAGTTGGTCACTATCTCATACACAACCACATATATTAAAAATGATTAATTCCAATGTTTATTGAATTTGGACACTATTGGCGACTTTTATTAAAGAAATTAATACGTCTAAACCTATTTTCCTTCAGAAACAAGGAACGTTTATAATAATCTTTTTGCGATAGAAAGAATTATAGCTTTTATTTAAAGAATAAAGTTATTCTTTGTAAAGTGTGTTTCATTAAGACGTATTATATATAAGGGTGTTTCATTAAGACGGATCAAAGTTAGCAGTAAATAACTCAGTGTTATTGGCGAAAATTTATTTATTTATCTAATGGATGAAGTTATTTAAGTCATCGCAATTATGGGTGAAAATAATATCACCCAAATATCCGACAAATCTGAAGGAAAAAGAAAAAAAATCATACTACTCTTAAACTTAATTCACATTTAAAATCGATCCAAGTTATTTAGAATTGAAAAAAATTCGAAACATATCTCTCGCTTTGTTAATCACAATGTCCTCCTAGATAACTTATAACAAGATTCCAAGTCTTGGGATTTTAGAAAAAATTTCTTCAAAAAAAAAAAAATGATTCCACATTTCTAAGACAGATGCTTATTCGCTTGATCTTCGATGCTGAAAATAGCTGAGCTAACTTCAACGAAAAAATTAACTTGATTTTTTTAGTATTGAGGTTCACTAATGATGAGCAATATGTAATTTGTCTCCTTGCTCGCAATATTGGCCCATGTCTGCTTTAGACGATTTTTATCAGATATGGATGTCAGTGTTTAAAACATTGCTCGTTCGTAACGTAATACGTCTCCCCTTTTTGATACTGCTGCAACACGATCTTCCTACACCTAAAGGTTCCTTGGGTCGATTTTATGCCTTGTATTAGTGAACGTTTCAGAAAAAAATTAATTAATATCGAATCGGAATCTGTAAATAAATTCGTATGTGTTTTATCCGTATTTATTAGAGCCTCAAAAGTATATTCCCATTTACACCCATACTCCAAATGAATCTGACAATTTAGCTGCAAAATCGATACGTTTTTTTTAAAGATCTTACAATAAAAGGACGGCAGCAACTACTATGATTAAAATTAGTTTTAATCGAGGGTCTTATTAAATTTACTTTAACACAGAAGATTTTGGTTAAGATGGGCTGGTTAATTAATCGACACACCAATCTTTGTTGAGTTATTAATAATGAGTTTACATTTTAACGCAGAACGAATATGTAGCTATAGGTACCGTTTACATTAGAGCAAAAAAAGACAGATACAAATCTAGTGTCAGAAAAAATATCAACAAATATATACAAATCAGTGTCAGAAAAATATATATAGTAGGTCTGATTTCTATTAAAGACAAAAGCATAGATGATCTGGTTCATATTGGAATCAAATTGTAGTATCGAGAAAATTGTTGGAAAACAATCATTTGAAAAAATTATTCGAAAACTATTATTCTAAAAACATTTATTTACATTGTAAATTTTATGGATGAAAATTAATCGAAAGTACAGTTATACTAACTGTTGTTAACTTGGGCAGAAGATGGCCTTTTAATTTTAACGCTTCCAAAACTAAACTACTCTCCATTAATCAACTGAGAAAACCCTCTCTGACGACCTCCAAGAGAGTGGTTCGTTTCGCTTTCTTGGGCTAACGTTCTGGTTGATATGAGGTGAAAAAACTATATTGAATCCATTTCTAGATCAGCTCCTAGGAAGTTTGGTGCACTGTGTCAGGCTAGAAAATTTTTCTCTCCACAGTCTATCTTCACTATTTACATTATTTAGACTATTGTCCTTATCTTTGTTGCCATATTTATCACAACGTTTCGGCGTTGTACGCTCCGGCCTTCTTCAGGTGGTTGGAATGTCGAATGGATGTCAGTTATCAGTTATCTCCTGTTAATTCATTAGACATGGCACGTGGAAACTGATATCCATTAGACATTGCACGTGGAACTAGAACAGTCTATCGCAGCGAGCAAAATAAAGGATTCAGTTCGACATTCTTGAAGAAGGCTGGAGCGTACAACGGCCGAAACTTTGTGATAAATGTGGCAACAAAGATGAGGACAATATTCCGAATAATGTAAATAGTGTATGTGACACTATTTAGGGTTGCGTGAAAAAAAAAAAGAAAAAAAAAGGAAAAAAAAAAAGACGAGAATTAAATTAGGTGATAAGAAGCTATAACGAAAGGACACTGAACGATGTTATTTTTTCTAACCAAGAAAAGTGCTAAAGATTTTATTTTCATTAGCGAAGAAAGTAAGATCTCGGTTCTGCCGGGTTTAATTTGATTTATGACGATACACCGAATAAAATACAACCGTCTACCCATGGCGATAATGAAAATTTCAAATTGGTCGAGTGGCCTGTGGGACAGAGTGCTAAGAGATAATATTAATTAGGTCATGCACTGACCGCGAAAAATGTCCGCTGGACCACCCGCAGAGTACAAGGAAGGAATGATTAAACCTTTAACTATCTGCGGAAATATCCTTTTGAAAAGGCACCTGTTTTATGTCAAGAGCTGGCCATGATAGCAAAATTATTTTATCAGAACGAATAATTGGCACCAGGGTGCGAAGTCGCCAGATGACCACCCACTTGATGCTGGCGGAAAAGTCTCGATTGACGAACTCCAGATGGGATTCGGTTAAGATAAGAGTCTAAGGATTTGTTGTCGGGAAGAAGAAAAGAAAGAAAAGAAAAGAAAGAAAAAAAAATTTTTTTCTTTGAGCGATAATTAGCAAACACCTACGCCGCTGAGCATTCATTGGCTGAAGGGTGGCGTGAGCGGTAGGCAAAGGTAAACCATGAAGAAGGAGGGGAGGCCTGTTGACGCCCCCTGAAGAGATTTTAGTGAGATACCCATATGAGAAAGGAAGAAATTGGGAGGACCATTCCCTTAAAGTAGAAAATAAAAGATTTCCAAAAATGAAAAGTGATGGGTTTTCCTGACCAAAAACAAAGAAAATACTTAATGCGGATTTAGAATTATCAAGGAACCTCAAACCCCGACAAGCCCACCCCGGCTTTGGTCGGCGTCCATATAAGCAGAGTCGCAACGAGTGGACGGCAGTTCGCAGTTGGAGTTGACTTGCAGCTGAGTTGAGTTCGCAGTTGAGTTGAGTTGGAGCTGAGTTTCAGTTTGCAGAGTGAGATCCGCCTCGCAGAAAGCTGACTTAAGATTCACGCATTCTCGACCTCAACTTCTAACCAAGAACAATTTATTTTTGAAGAACGACTTAGACTCACACCACCAAAACAAGTTTTACGAATATCGCCTGGAGATACACCAAGAACCAGTTTCTTAAAGAGCAAACAACTTAAGATGTTAAGACTCGCCTAACAAACACAAGGTGTCACGAATGCATATAGCGGGTTGGGAGAAAGACGCAACCAAATATAAAATATTGTTATCCTTTTTTAACACATTTGAACTTTTCGAGTTATTACTTTATTTTCTTTTACATATACTTGTGCAGTATTATCCTTGTTCGGACTCGACTTGCATTACGGCCCGGCGACTGATTGATTTCGTCTACCTAAGATCAAATCACAACGTGTGTAGGTTAGACTAGAAATCAAAGCAGTTACTTCGGTAACCAGACGTTGGAGGCGAGCTGGGAACGACAGCGCTGATACCGAAGCTAACCAGATTCCCATCCAAATCAGCAAAAGGTTAGAACGTCACATTTGGTGCCGCGACCAATACCAAATCACATTGGTCGACTCAAGACAGGATAGGACGGCGACGGCGCGGAGACAGACGGGGTGACGTGACAATTGGCGCCGCGACTAGGACAGCACGGCGGACGCGGCCAGGCAGACGTCACATTTGGCGCAGCGACCCCGGGGTGACGTCACAAATTGGTGCCGTGACCAGGATAGCACGGCGGGCGCGGCCAGGCAGACGTCACGATTGGCGCAGCGACCCCGGGGTGACGTCACATGTACATGATACTTCATCTCAGAAATATAGACAGAGAGTCTATCTTATATAGAAGTTTACCATTCGTTCATATTTAGAATATTGCTACCACATACGGTCTGATGCTCCTGATATTTATTGAGAACTACTTGATAAAAGAATAAGCTATATTATTGGCCCTGATCTGTTGTCTCGGCTTCAGTCACTTTAGCATTGCTGTAAGGTTGTCTCCCTTTGTCTTTTCTGTAAATAGATTTATGGTAATTGTTCGGAGGAGCTCTTCGCTATAGTACCTAGACTCTTTGAATTTAAGCACAGTGCTAGACTGACGACGAGGTCTCACCAATCTACAGTTGAACTTGCTGGACGTAATCGTTAGTTCTATGATAACAATTTAATTTTCTCACACTTCTCGCTTGTGGAACTCTCTTCCAGTTCTATGCTTTCTAGCCAATATCTCTCTGCAACAATTTAAATGCAATGTCAATCGTTATATACTGGACTCCTTTGTTTAATGTTTCTGCTTCTAAATCTCCCACACCTAGTAACTCCTTGTATCTCAGTTGCTTTACTGCTTTACATACAGTGAACTCGATTAAAAAAAAAGAATTGGTGAATTTAATATGCTGAATACACAACACCTTGCGACTGTAACAAAAGCAAACTGAACGAGTTTTTTTGCTTTTGATATAATATTTTGTATATTTCCCCATTTCTTTTCACATATTCAACTTTACAATTTTAACTAACACATATATTCCCTGGTGTTTCTAAAACTGAAGAAATCTATTTATTGCGGTCTGTTTGATCAAATGTTGTGTTTTCAGTTGTAAATATTTACAAAATATAATTTTAAAGAGGAGAATAATAGTTAAAAACACAAAAAAAAAACGTGTTTCCTTTTCTAATATACCAAGAAAGCTGCTACGCTGTGTTGTTCTATACAATCTCTCTAGCCCGAAACCATCGTGCACATTTATAAATTTAATATTCGTCCGTGCAGGGAATATTGCTACCATACCTGCTCTGTTGCTCCTGCTATATATCTCGACAAAAACAATGAATAATCTGAAAGTTATCGGTCCTGATCTGGCATCTCGTCTTCACTCACTTTAGCACAACCCTGACGTTGCCTCCCTCTGTCTTTTCTATAAATATTTTCATGGCAGTTGTTCTAATGAGGTCCCCTCCACGCAAGCTCGACCACATGAATTTAAACGTACTACTAGTTTCTTTTCTCGCACTTCTAAAATGAGGAACTCTTTTCAAATTTTTTTGTTTCCCTGTTAACTATGATTTTCAAAAAAAAATAAATGCCACGTCAATCGCATTCCTTTGCCTTCCTAAAACTATTCTTTTATTGTTCTTTCTCCTCAACAAGTACTTCTAATTCTCTTCCACTCCTAGTAAGACTATGCATCTTACTGGCATTTTCGCCTTCCTTCAGGTGAAATGATTTATAAAATGCATTTCTGTAAAGTATCATCGTCTTTAAAAAGAATTTCACGAGAAGAAATATCAGAGAACCATTTTTAAAAATCTCCACACTAAACAAGTCCATAATGCAACTGTAACGTAGGAGGGGGGTAAAGGAGTGAAAGAGAAAGGGAGGAATTTCGTGGGGAGAAGTGAGAAAGGAGAATAAAGGAAGAGTGTTCAAGAAGACAGTAAATTGCGATTGACGTTTCATTTAAATGCTTGAATACTGTAGTTATAAGGGAAGCAAGAAATAGGAAGGGAGTTCTACAGGAGAGAAGTAAAGGAAAAGAAACTGACAGAGTAAGAGTGGCGGTTACGTCTGGCTTGTTCAACTGTAAGACGGTGACATATAGTTACCAGTCTAGTACCACGATTAAAGTCATGTAGTCGGGCCACCAGGGAAGAAGAAAATGCTCGTCAGAAGAGGTTGTCTTGAAAATATTTGTGGGAAATACAGTGGAAGCCACGTCAGGTCGGTGAGGAAGTGATTGAAGTCGAGATGCTTGGTCAGGACCGATTACATTACAGATACGTCTCTGGATTTTTGTCAGTTATCTCGAGATATACGACACTAACAACAGACCAGGTATGTCAACGTTATTCAATGCCCGAACGAATGGTAGATTTAGAAATGTGCAAAATGGCTTCTGACGCGGCACGACACATTGAACAATTTAGCAGTAGACGTAGCGATTGGTTGGATATAGTCGACACGCTTCCTGCCAGTGAAAACGTGAAGCCAAGAAGACGGAGTGTGTTTCTCTCCTTTTGTTTGGCATCAGCCACGATGATGGCAGGCAGAAAATTTTTCTCGTCAATGATTAAATGGAAGCAAATTTTCTTTGGGGTCGTTTAAATTTACAAGGCATTTCTTTAACCAGTTAACCAATTGTTGGAGTACCATCATTCCACAGTGAATGCTACTTTCTAGATTAGTTATATATTACTTACTAGTATTTACACCACACGTCGTTCGTTCTCTTTTAGGTACAAACGTATATGTTTATTTATATAAAGGAATAGATTTTGAGATAATTCGACGAAACTCTTTCCCGCTTTTTCATTTCTTTCGTTACAGTCGGACTCCATGTTAACATTTTTCTTTATCTCAGAAAATCACAATTTTTAAATTGTTGTTTCTGTTGTCTTTCTGAGCTGCCGGCCTCTTTTTATTATTACACCTTTGATTTCTGTTAATACACTAGTGATTTTTATTATTACACCTTTTATATTTTACAAGATTCTCTTTCTTTAAAGTTTTCTTTCATTTTTGTTTCTGTTTTTCAAATTATTCATTTTTTTTCTTTCCTTCTTTCTTTTTTATTGCTTTCTTTCATTATTTCTTTTCTTTCTTATTTCTTCCTGTCAACGATTTCATTTTATCTCACTTTTTCTTCGTACTTTTCGATTGCTTTGTTTGTTTGTTTCTTATTTCTTTTCTCCTATCAGCGATTTCTTTTACATATCTCATTTTCTTTCATACTTTTTCATTGCTTTCTTTCTTTTCCTTTCTTTCTTTCTTTTTTCTTTTTTTACATGTAATTTTCTTTCATACTTTTCATTTTTTCTTTCTTTCTTTCTGTCTTTCTATCTTTCTTTCTTTCTTCTCTTTTCCTTTTTCGTTTACATATTTCATTTTCTTTCACACTTTTTCATTGCTTCCTTTCTTTC